ATTTTAAAGAAAAAAACATAAGCAACGTCAAAAAAAAATGTAGTACAATACCAACGGGATATTCTATGTATGTTTACAATATTAAAAACTATTAAAATGATAAATAAAAGTCCAGTATGTCACAACTTAGCTTAAAATGTTATTAAAATAAAATAATGGAGCTCAAATGTTAAAATCAAAGCTGTACAAACATCTGTCCAGCAAAAACTTTTTCACCGCTCTTTTAAACCCAATAGGCTTGCTCTCGGATTTTATATCTATAGGAAGCATATTGAAAGTTTTGACAGCCATGTATAATGGAGCCCTCTTAAAAAATGCGGACGAATGTGCAGGCACACTCAGATGTTCTCTGCCTCTGGTCACAACGGTCATACTTTCAGCATAATAATGTGCGTTACTATTAAAAAGATACATATGCTTTTTAACAAATAAAACAAGTGCCAAAAAATATAGTGATGGAACCGTCAAGAATCCCAATCTTGAAAAATGTTCCCGACATGATGTTCGAGGATGAAGTCTCAAAATGCACCTCAGGATGCGCTTTTGCGCTATAAAAACTGACAGGGCACCCCGCGAAGAGCCCCAGAACATTATACTATAAGTTAACAATGACTGTACAGATGAATAATAAAATTGCCGTAAAGTGTTCAAGGAAACCTCATTTCGCAGCCGCCGCACCAACGCACAGAAGCTGTGGAGCTTACCAACCAAAACAAATGTTTGACAATCCCAATTCAGACTCGAATCCAGGTAAATGCCCAGAAACTTTATATCGGTCATCTCTGGTATTGGTCCGCTATTGCAACGAACCAACAGCGACTTATCCCTGGCAGATGATTTACTGAACGTGAGAAGTCCAGTTTTATCAGCATTCAATCTTAATGCGTAATCCTTGCACCAATCCTGCATGGTCCCCACTGCACAAGAACAGACCCCGGACAAGCCAGACATGTCCGACGCAGTCAGCACAACAGTAGTGTCGTCCGCATACTGGCAAATCAGACCTTCCATAAATCTGTCACGAAGACCATTCACATAGAGCAGGAACAACAACGGTCCCAGAATTGATCCCTGCGGCACACCCTGTTTAATCAAGGTAACTGATGAAAAATGCCTAACACCATTTTGGGTTATACAGACAAGCTGCTCCCTACTGTCAAGGTATGACTCTATAAGCTGTGCACATTTACCTCGTATTCCATGTTTAGACAGAATTTTAAGGAGTATTTGATGGCCTATGGTGTCGAAGGCCTTAGACAGATCAAAAAACAGACCGGCCACTTTTTCATTCTTATCCACATTTTCAACAATATAAGTAAGAACTTTAAATAGTGCTAGTTGTGTGGAATGATTTGGGCGAAAGCCAAATTGATTTCTTGTTAAAATGTTGTATTTCTTGATAAAGTTCATTATCCTTGAATATATGACTTTTTCGAAGACCTTTGACACAGAAGATAAAAGTGAGACTAGTCGATAATTATCCATGTCATGCACATCTCCTTTTTTGTAAATGGGAACCAGTTTGGTCCTCTTTAAATGTGACGGAAAAATTCCTGAAAACAGACATTCATTAATAATATAAGCTAACGGTTCGCATATATAGTCAGATATCTGCTTTAGAACTACCACCGGGATTTCATCCAAACCAGCTGAAAATTTGTTTGGCAAACTCGCCAAAGTTAGTTTAATTTCTCTATTGTCAACAGGAAGCAAAAATAAAGTGGGAATCGCACTAGCTTCCGAAATATCAAGACTGCCATGGGATTGTGGAGAGATATCAAACCTTTCCTGAAAGGCATCAGCAGTTTTTTGGGGATCTTTTATTATTACACCATTATTAAGTTTTAGCTCAATGGAACGCTTAATTTTTGTATTAGTTTCTGCGTTTAAAATACTCCACGCAGTTTTTGTCATGTTTTTTGAGTTTAATATTTTACTTTCATTTAGAGCTATTTTGTAATTCGACAGAAATTTCCGGTATTCTTGTCGTGCAATTTTATACTGATTATATACTCTAGGGCTATGTGTAATCTTAGACCAAACATACAAATCTTTTATATAATTAGAGTATGCTTTTATCTCCTCATTTACCCAGTTTTGTTCTTTGAATTTTAATCGATAGGTACATAATGGAAAAGAAATGTCAAAATAATGAAATAGTACGTTGAAGAAGGTTTGATATTTCTCCTCAACCCCAACTGAACCATATACATCATTCCAGGTCTCGGAGCTCAGCAGATCTTTGAAGCGCTGGATGTTGGAAGCCGCGAAAAAACGTTTTCTTGCATAATTGATGTTAGGAACCTTGTTATTTAATGTAAAATTAAGGCTCTGACCATAATGGTCTGATATATTTATTTTTATAATGCTACATTGTGTATCAGGTATATTGCTAAACATATTATCAAGCTGAGTGCCCCGAGTGGGACCTATCCTCGTTATGCCTTTCACGTGGGACACTAGTCCATAACTGGCCATAAGCTGTGTCACAGAAAAAACTCCCTCATAATGAACTAAGAAATCTACATTAAAATCCCCGCAAACCAGCAGATATTTATTTGGGGCATACACATAATTTAAAACTTCATCAAGCGTAGATAGAAATAAATCTAAATTCCCTGTAGGTGCCCTATATATACAAATCACAATATAATGTTTATTATTTAATGTAAATTGTGAAATGCAATACTCACAGTGTTTTTCAATACACTCAGTGTTTGCCCTTAAGCTTTCAACGGTAAGGTCTGAGTTTACAAAAATTGCTGTGCCTCCGCCACGGAATTCTGTTCGTGATGAATGGCTGATGGGCAGATAATTGTCTAAAACTACAGAGTTTATATCATTTCGCTGCAGCCAATGCTCTGAGACACAAAACATGTCTGGTTTCTTTTCTGCAAGCAGAACTTTTATTTCCAAAATTTTGTTATTTATACTTTGTACGTTCAAGTGCATAACAGATATACAATGACTCTCAGAGCCCTGGCTGCCAGAATCAGTTTCCCATGTGGAGGGTGTTTGGTGGTCGCGGTGTACATTAGTTACCCTGTATGACATCTGTCTAAAAAATTTCTACCCAAGCCAAAGTTAAACCTTCCAAATGCAACACCCTTGGGCCAAAAAGCGGTATTATATATCTTGTCTTTAAGTTCAGGATTTACACCCACCATAAAGTTCTTTTTTCTACTCTTTTGAGACTTTGGTATACATTGTTTTACCTGTATTTCATTGGCAGTAGTACTTGCGTGTTTTACAATATAATCGCTGATTGTATTTTCTGTGATGGTCTCATTAACTTTCGACAGGAAAAGCCAAATTTTTTTATCTTTATTATCCCCGGCAAGATTAAATTCTTCGTCATTACATTCACCATATTTCAGGGACTTTCTTTGTTTTTGATGGTTATATTTTTGTTTACGCGTTTGTTTTCTTTGAAACTCGAAACGACCTTCGAATTCTTCTTTTTGTTGTTCACTAGCGATGTCTTCTAGTTCCGGAGCAGTTCGCCACTTCATCGTTGCAGACTTCAGACCGGATTTCTGTATTACTGACAGTTTGCCTAGAGGTCACGACCGTCGCCTCACTGCTGGCACTGCTGGCTTCACGTTGCTTAGCCGTAGTGTTTATGTTTACCTTTTTTACTTGGTTGGAGTACGATGATGCACCTGCTTTTTCGTTTTTTGTGTTGGTTAGCCTTTCTTCAAGGGATCTACATTTTTGCTTCCACAATCCAAGGTTTTCGACAAGTAAGGCGTTCTTGTCCTCAAGTTCCTTGATTATCTTTAATAAATACTTAGTTTCATTGTCGATGGAGTTCTGCGAATCTTCGTTTTCAGTGGCTTCGTGTTTGCAAGTTGCTTTCTTATAGGAAGCTGCTTGCACCATACATGCGGGATGGAAGACATCTTGGCAAAACTTGCACTTTACGTAATTTAAAACACTTCTACTGCAGTGTTTACAAGTAATATCGGCGGATTTCGGAAGAGCTCGCGAATTGGCATCCTTACTCGGCGCCATCTTACTATAAATTATTGTATTTTCACGTTTTGGCAGAACCGCTTTAGGATAATTATAAAATACCAACAAATAATGAGTCATTTCGCCACGGGCGAAGTGCACATAGTGGGCGGGTAACTTACTTGATCCCCGCGCACGCGGTGGACAAAAAGGGAAACATCATCGGACATATTGAAATATATGGTGAAATCTGTGTAATGTGGGGTCAGTTGAGGCAGGCAGTGATGCAAATATTTCAGTGTCATCACTTGGCAGTCCGAAAGAGATTGTTTTGAAATTCACATTGTTCCTAACCTTAAATCAGCTAAAATGCCAGACATTTTAATTATCCGTTTATTTTTATAACACATATCAAGGACAAATATTTCAGTCCAGCTAGGTGGCGCTATCATCGTGCACCCAGCGAAAAGTAAGAACCGGCATGCTCGCGATTTGCCGGCTTTCTATAAAATGCTTAGGAGATTTATAAAAAGACCCAATTTTCATTATGCCTACGACGTCATTTCTATTCCTAACTGAAATCGCATAAACTACCAAGTTGTCCATACATGACAGGGAATTCTGTCACCGGCGTCACACTTCATACTGATAGGACTTAATATTCCAATATTTTTCACTTAGATGTGTACTATCGTCATAACCTTGTTTTAGGTGTTGTTCTCCAACTACCTCTCCAAGATGCCACTTCTGATGCCAGGAGAGCGCTAGTGTGCCGGTAGTTGTAGCTGTTGCCAGGCACATGAAACATACATAAGCAACTCAAATACTCAATTTTCATTGTAGCTTATGATTACAGTAGCCACGGTCAGGATACTGTTTGGGCAGTGTACTGTTTTGAAACCAAATCTACATTGAGCGTTTCAGTGGTCTTCGAGCTCTGTCATCATATCAACAACTTATTCAGTCGTTTTTTATTAGAAATAGAAATACATACTATATGATTGTCAAGTTCTTTCAGGTAGTGATAAATAGACAATAATACTTACGCTAACACCTTCATCCTCGCTATCCTTAAAGTACTTTTTATTATTACTACTTCGACCAACTTCCTTCTTCTGCTGCTTGCTTTCCAACATGGCATGCATCCTCTGCAGGAACCTAATCCTGGGAGGTATTGCCAGGCCCAGCGACCTCGCGAACGAGTCCGTGTCCAAAGCATGCACATCAAAGACCTCTTTGTCTTTCATGAGGTACACAGCCTTAGCATAACTAACAAATGCTCTCTGAGCAGTGTCTTTCAAAGTCGGGTCTTTGGCTAGGAAAGCTTCCATCTTGCGAACTGGGTTGTTCAATTTCATTGGGTTTATTCTATAAAATGTATCCGCATTTAAGTGATCAAAATAATGTGATAAACTTACACGTATGCACTGAAATGAGCTACACCATTGATTAACGTATTCTACCTGAATATAGACAGCCTAATGAAACACTAACCTTTCCAGGGAAGATTTCTAATTACTGTAGAGAGGAGAAGTGTAGCTGTGACAAATTCTCATAGATGACGCTATGGTATCTAATTTCATCTGGGATAGCTTTTTGGACGCGAGAATATATAGAATTAGCAAAGAGTATACTTATATAAAGAGAAGACAAGTTGAATAAGTAATACTGAAACTCAGGACAAGGCATACACAAAACAATTGATGGAGTCTAAACACGTGTTGTTCATATCTGGTCTGAGATAAACGCAGTGTTGCCAGAAAGATAGTCCTTTTTGGATGAATGAGTTTACACTAACATTTATTCATAGTGGGGATATTTGTCATCCTTTTGTAGCCTACATAATACATTTTTCAATCAATGGAATGTTGTATTGTGGACAAATATTAATGCGTGTATCCATTAAACCAGTGACAAAAGGCAAAAACAGGATCCTTATTTGTAGTTTCATTAGATATTAATTGTTAATCTGTGTTAATTTTTTTGTATTATTTTCCGAAAGTCAATGAAAACAAGGTTGTGTGCGTGCGCGCGTGTGGATGCGCGCGTGCGTGTGTAGCAGTTTCTAAACATTCTCTGTTAGTTTGGCAACATTGGCTCAAGGGATGCCGAGCCAAACCAAGATCGGTTTGCTCATAGATCGCTGTTTTTGTCGTAAACAAGTAATGCAGGAGAAATCCAAGGTCAACGGAGCGAACCGGCAGATTATAAAGACATTCCACAAAGTGTCATCGTCTTTTGGTATAACTACTCCTTGGTATTAGAATGGCTGTCTTCAGGTAGAATACATGTTAATAAATGGCTGCACATTATTATCACTGGTCCTTCCAAAATTAGGGGTCTGACACCTTCATATCTGACATTTATTACCATCAGACACCATTAAGATTTTCTTTAAGAATATGTCACAAAATACACAATATTTCACGAGTATCCATCACGGTACAATGACAGCTGGTTATCTGGTAGTATTTCAAAATTCCCCATATCGCGAAAGGACACAATTCTGACGGATTGGTCAACGCTAGGTGGACAGAGCCATATTTTGTTTTGTTTTTTTTTGTACGCTACAGATTCATTTTGTACTTGCTAAATGCTGTTTTATTTAGAAAAATTAATTTGCATACAAAAAACAAAACGCTACCAACAAATTTTTGCTAAATTTACTCCCGATTGACAATAGCCAACGTTGCAGACCAATACAAAAATGTCACTTGCTGATCAGCTGTTCACCTCAGTAGACGTCAAAGCGTGAGGCTACTCGTGAAATAAGGGCCGATACTATCGTCAAGTGACAGATACGCATCAGAAGCATTTTTGTGATTTGCTATGCATAAAATAATTCAAAATGTTTGTTATACAGGGTGCGGCAGGGAGGATGGAAGGTTTTAAAAAAATCATAAAATAGTTAATTTTTACTCGAAAACAAATTTATTGATGGAATCAGGTTCACAAGGAAATAGCATTTGAGACAGTCAAGTCAGAAAATCACATCAGGCATGTGGTGGCCGAAATCGTTGATGCAGTGCTGGAGACGCTGGAAGTTCGCTTTCGTAACTGTTGCACAATGGCCAATTTGTAGGGGTGAAAGCGGAGATCCATATGCAAAATTTGCCTTACTGAACGATCACTAAGGCGAAGTGCAGCAGCATGTTTCCGGGCAGATCGAGTCGGACTGCGAAGAAAGACCTGTCGAACGCGTTCAACATTTTCAGGAGTTCGAACTGTTCGCTGCCCTCCTCTTGGTCTTCTGTAGATCAGTTCACCACGCCTACGAAGTGATTCAACCTAACGAAGGATGGTGTTTCGAGAGGGAACAGCTATATTCCGATGAATGTTGAAGTGGCGACGAAACTCACGCTGTACGACGATGACTGACTCATTATTTCGGACGAAACAACCATAGGCGAAAACGCGGTGCTCCACCGTCCAAGGCTCCATAACGACAACTGGTAAAATAATACTAGGATCTCACGAGTCAAACGGCACCCTCCCCACCTCTCTCGTAGACGGAGGCGGAGAGTACTACCCATCCCAAAAACGTCCGTCCTCTCTGCCGCACCCTGTACAATCAGAGTGAACCAGTAGATATAGCTGCTGAAGATCATAACTACATTTTCCGTCAGATAATAATTGAGCAAATTTTAAGCAATATTTTCTGATAGTACAGTGTATGCGGATCGCACATCCAGAATCAAAACAAATTATAAGAAAGAAATTACATTGGGATAAGTTCATTTGTTTTTGTCACTTACTCTATCTTTTGGATGGGAATTTTCTTTTCTTTCAATTTATCTACCATTTGTATTTCACTTTCTAGGAGCATGAGTAAACTTTCTCCACCTCTGTGGTATCTAGCTGTCCTTCCAACCCTATAACAACAGGAGGTATGAAAGTATTGTCGAGCAATATAAAAAAAAGGATATCCACTATAATATGTACACTGACACATATTCAATTATCATACATAATGCAGGATATTATTTATATATTGGTCACTTTTGTCAAAACCATACTATTTGGGCAATAACTGAAATTGACATCACCATGTTTATATGTATAGCAGTGATGTCAATATCAGTGATTGCTCAAATAGAGGCATGCTCTGATGAATGTAGTAGTAGTAGTAGTAGTAGTATATTGAGCCAAATTTCAAACTAAAGTTCACATGGCATGTCAAAGAAAAGTAGTATACTAACAATATCACAATAAATGTGAATTTAAAAAGTACAAGTTCAAAACTAGACAAAAATAGCTACTTGCTAAAACACTTTATAAAATACATACATAATGCTTACTGATTTTGAAAATTCAAAAATTGATTTATAGAGTAACATTTCTCACTTAAAAACTTGAAAACCTTATTTTTAAATTCCATATAGCTCTCTATATCTCGCAGATCTCGAGGTAGATTATTGTACAATGATATGTAAACGGCTTTTCAATAGCTATGTCTGAAATTTGGCAACATCTTGCTTTGACATTTCAGGTGGCACGGCTATCATTCCTCGATGTTTGTGTTCTGTCTTAGTCACCATTTTACCAATTACTGATACACTCTGCAAGAACGCGTCGCAATTGTTAAAATCTATTGTAAAAATTCGTATTCTATTCGTCAAACTTCTCGCGAGCTACGAAATATTTACGGCCGAAATAATTGTCCAACGGAGCTAACAATTCATCGAATTATCGCCAAATTTGAGCAAGACGGTTCGGTTGCTGATCGAGCAGTTCCTGTAAGACGCAGAAACGCGCGGTCAAGCGAGAATATTGTTGCTGTTGCCGAAAGTGTGGCCGAAGACACTCCTTTCGATTCCGCGTCGTGCACAAGCAATTTGACTTTCTGCGATCTCGACTTGGTGAGTTTTACGAAAGGACTTGGGCAGATATCCATATAAGATCCAGTTGACGCAAGAACTGAAGCCCCAAGACCACCAAGTGCGTCGTATCTTCGCTGACTGGGCTCTGGAACAGTTGGGAGCGGATCCAAATTTTGGCAAAAAATCATTCTCAGTGATGAAGCACGTTTTTGGTTAAACGGTTTCGTGAATCAAAATTGTGCAACAGTATCAAGAGTTTCCATTGCATCCGAAAAATTTACTTTTTGGTGTGAGTTTTGATTGATCAGGCGGCGTCATTGGACAGTCCGAAACGAGAATGGCGAGACGGTGACTGTCAACGGCGCCGGGTATCGGCCATGATAACTGACTTTTTATGACCTCAATTGAATAATATGGATCTGAACAACATGTGGTTCCAACAAGACAGCGCAACGTGTCACACATCGGCCACTACATTACAGTTGTTGTGAGAAAAGTTTCCAGGAAACTTTATTTCCAGAGAAGGTGATGTGAAATGGCCGCCAAGATCGTGCGACTTAACGCCTTTAGACTTTTTTCTCTGGGGTTACGTTAAGTCGGTGGTTTATGGCAACAAACCAACAACAATTCACTAACTCAACTGGAGAACAAGATCATTCAAACCATTGGTGAGATCCAGCCCGACTTATGCAGCAGAGTTTTTCAAAATTGGATCTCTCGGATCAAGTCATCTAAACTAAGCCGCGGAGGCCATTTGAATGATGTAATTTTTACAACGTAATGGTGTTGAATGTACTTTAATACGCAATTAAAGTTTCCATCATATGTCGCACACAACTCGTTTTATTCAATTGTAAATTTTAGACACAATGAAAAATAGTTGGACTGCGGTGATTTTGTATATGCCATAGTTCTAAAACGATTTGCTTTCAAAATGGGACTTCTGGTCTTATAGGTGTGATGTTCATTCTGGATGCTGAAATCGTTGATGTTTCGCTTTACATAGTTGACACACTTATAAAGGGTCTACCAATAAGAATGATATAAGATCAAATTGCTAAAAAATAAAAACGAAAAGATATCATTAAGATGCCCACCTCGGCTGCGGCGGTAGAGATTTAGACGATACACCCAATTTTCAATGACTTGTTCCAACAAGTGGGGCTGAATTTCGCAATTAACTCGGGTAATGTTAACTTTCAAGTCGTCGATGGTTTGAGGATTCTTAGTGTGCGCCTTCGACTTCACATATCCCCAAAGAAAAAATTCCAGGGGAGTAAGATCACAGGACCTTGGTGGCCGATTGATAGGACCATGTCGCGAAATTATTCGATCCTCAAAAGGCTCTCTTAATAAATTAATTGTGTCTCGGGCAGTGTGCGATGTTGCTCCGTCCTGTTGAAATCACTTCTGTTCCAAGGCTCCACCATCAATTGCAGGCCAAAGAAAGTTTTTTATCATGTCGCGGTAGCGCTCTGCGTTGACTGTCACAGTATGCGTCCTCAAAAAAGTAGAGACCGATAATCCCACCGACATGCAAACCACACCATACAGTCACTTTTATCGGGTATAATGCCCTCTCGACTAATTTCTGAGGACTGTTCTGACACCAGAAGCGGCAATTTTGCGTTATTGACAACGCCAACGCCTCGTCTGAAAAGATGATTTATTTATCATAATCGGCATTTTGTTCCAACTGCAACAGGACCCAGTCAGTAAACGTTCTTCACAAACCATAGCCGGCAGGCTTCAGTTCTTGGGTTAGAGCCATCTTACAAATATATGTGTGTCTTGCTTGATGGTCCGCGAAGAAGTCTTTTGTGGCGGCGTTGCTTCTCGGCAGTGGTGACGTCAGCGTGACGGCCAGTGGCGGAGGCGATGGTTTCAAAATGCTGATATATTCCTTGCACCACCTTTCCCAGAAATGTTGCTTCATCTTGCAAATCAGCTGATAAGAAGACAGCCGGTTCTGTGGTAACTGTGTGAGATCCTCTTCTGGGATGTCTTGCATGGAGCGGCCAATAAGGAAATGGGCAGGAGTCAATGGGTTTAGGTTATGAGGTTCAGAGGACAATGGGGATATAGGCCGACTGTTGAGAACGCACTCGATTTGAGTTAATAACGTTGAAATGTCTTCGTATACGAACGAATGATCACCCGCGTCTCCTTTAAGGTGATGTTTGACGCTTTAAACGCCAGCTTCCATAAACCGCCGAAATTGGGACTATTAACCGGGATGAAGTGCCACTTTATACGTAATCAACACCCACGCTCGTGAGTTTTGTTAAATAAAGGTGAGAATCGAGGATAATCGGATGTTTCTTGTCGTAGGAAAAATCCGAGTTTCTGAAGCGACCACCTACTCTTAAAATACCTTTTTCATCAAGAAATGGGTTGAGTGACAGAAGTCGACTCTTCGCTTCAAGGCTACAGGCGTTCTGGAGCCGTGAGTAATCAGAAGGAAATGACTGAATTTGAGATATTCGAAGTAATACTTCGAGGCCTTTCTTTAACTCCTCCACCGCGAGCTGTGAGGTTATACGGTTCTTGGGTAAAGAATTAATAAATCTCAATACGTAAGCGAAAGATCTTTGTAGACGGGAAAAATTTGAAAATCTTTCGAATGACACATCTGGGGAAGATCTTTTCACATGGCAGACACGTTTGAGTTCTGGGAGCTCAACCTTTTCTAAGACTGACTGAGGCCAATTAGATGATGATACTCTTAACCAGCTAGGCCCGTGCCACCATAGCTCGTCGGTTACTAGGTTTTTTGGAGATAAACCGCGAGTGAGTCTACCCGCAGGATTATCGCCTGATAAGACGTGTCTCCATTCGAAATTAGTTGTGTGCTCTTGAATTTCTTCAACTCTGTTAGCTACGAACTGCTTCAACATATGGGGAGGCGTTTTTAACCAATTGAGTACGATTGTTGAATCAGACCAGCAGTAAACTCTATCGAAATGTATGTGGACAGAGCTCAGGAACTTTGTTACTACACGAGATAAAGTGAGTGCCGAGCAAAGTTCGCGTCTTGGGATTGTGAGTATTTTCAATGGCGCAACTTCAGACTTGACGCATAATAACTCTACAGAACATTCGCCAGCTCTGTTTCATGACTTTACATAAATACAATCACCGTAAGCGCTTTCCGATCATCGCATATAACTTTCCGAGGTATCGTTGCAGTGCTACAGGAGGGTAATTCTTTCGCAAAGCTAATCCAAGATGAGTGTACATCTTGCGGCAAGGACTCGTCCCTAAGTTTTGAGACCAAATTTTTTGCAGTAAAATTTTTACTAAGATTACCGAGGGAAAAAGTAGACCTAATGGATCAGATCGAAGATATATGTGAAAGTATCGTACTTTTTTTGACATGACTGATTAGGTTTTCGCTGGAGGTTGTATAAGTCAAACTGTTGTCAACACTAGACCTGCATAGTCCGAGAACCTTGCATATGATTTCCTTTCCGGAGGAAAACTCAAGCACAGCATTAAGTTAATGCTTAGAGCTGATAAATTTTAGGACTTCGGGAGAGTTTGTCCTCCATTTTAAAAGGTCAAATCTGCGCGTCTTCAACACATCTATAAGCCTGATGCTGAGCTCCTTTGCGCTTTTAATGGAGTCGGTGACCGTAAGTAAATCGTCCATGTACATGTCGTGTTTGATTATGTGTGATATTTTGGGTTCCTTCTTTTCAACTTCTTCTGCTAGTTGATAAAGACCTCGCGTCGCGAGGAATGAGGCTGAGATCGTACCGTATGTTACCGTATTCAGTTCATACGTGTCAATTGGTTCTTCCGGATTTGAATGCCAAACTATCCGGTGGAACTTCCGTTGTTCCGGAGATATCAGAACCTGCCAGTACATCATCTTGATGTCTGCCGAAATGATGTATTTGTGAAGTCGAAATCTTAACATGATGGCGATTAAGTCATCTTGGATAGTAGGTCTAGTCATTTGCAAATTGTTAAATGATATATCTGTGCTGGTTGGGGCCAATGCATTGAATACCACACGTAGTTTGTTTGATACGCTATTTTCTCGTAAG